ACAAAGAGGAAGAGCAGTGGCCTTGTCAGACAGCTGGGATGGCCTAGAAGAAACCATAACCACTGTTTCTGAGCAGAAAAGGTATGTGACTGCGGTTCAGTGGCTGTGTTGTTATGAGGGTTTTTATTGGTTTGTTTTAGAGCTGGGGATTGGACTCAGGGCTGCATGCATGCTGGAAAAGCATTCTACCACTGAGTTGTACACTGTGGATTTTGGAATCTGACAGTTTAATTTTTTTTTTTTTTTAATTGGGGCTCAAACTTGGGACTTTGTACTTGCCAGGAAGGTGCCTATGCTGCTGAACTATATCCTGGGCCCCTGGCAATTTAGTTTTGATGCCTAGGTCTACCTTACAAGCTCTGTGACCTTGAGCAAATTAATTAGCTTCCCTGAGCTGCAATTTCACTGTTATGTGACCATAACAGTCTGTACTACATAAATCTGACATACACACATTCTGTGTGTATCACTTAGGTAATGTCTCTCACATAAAATCCAGCTGGTTCCTATGAAACTGTTTGGTGAACTAAAAATAGGAGCAGAGGGCTGGGGATGTAGCTCAGTGGTGCAAGCACTTGTCCTGCAAGCATGAGGTACTGCACTTGATCTCCACCCCCCTCCCCCACCCCAAAAAGTTAAGAAAATCAAATTCAAAATTCAAGCCAGGCATGGTGGCACATGTCTGTAAACCCAGCATTTGGGAGGCTGAGGCAGGAAGATGACTGTAAGTTCAAAGTCAGCATGAACTGCAAAAACTCAAAGTGAGTTCAAGGGCAGACTGAACTGCATAGTGAAACCCTGTCTCAAAAAAAAAAGAAAAAAAGAGCTCTTCTCCCATTGGAAACTGGCAGGAAGTCTGGACTCCCTGCAGTCACACTCAATGTGGTGGACTGAGTTCTTGGGGTCCCGTATTGCAGATCGGGAGGGGAAGTTAGGAAGGGAAGACTCTCAGGCTATGATCACCAATTATGATCCTCTCCATGATGCCTTCTCTCACCTGCAGCATTTACCAAACACACTTGCAGTTAGCTCTGTGTTCCTGCGACCTTCATTTCCCTCTCAATCCCTCCTAATGCAAGTTTCTTTCTTTCTTTCTTTCTTTCTTTCTTTCTTTCTTTCTTTCTTTCTTTCTTTCTTTCTTTCTTTCTTTCTTTCTTTTTTTGCTATGTAGCCCAGGCTGGCCTTGACTTGGCGATGACCCTCTTGCCTCAGCCTCCCTAGTACAAGGACTACAGTTGTGTGCCACCACACCTGGCGTAAGGCAGGTTTCACGGGGACCTTGAATGGAGGAGACGGGTCCTGTGGACAAGGGAGGAGGGACCTCCTGGGGTCAGGCTGGCATCTCCGGAGGAAGACAGAGGGAGGCCCTGCTTTCTCCTGAGGCCTCAGCTCTCTCTGACCTCTGATGGGCAGCAGGGACTGGGTGCTTCAGGAGGACGCTGGAGGCTGCAGAGGGAGGCGGCCTTCTCTGGAGGGGGAGACAGAGAGGGCCACTGCTTCTTACCCTACTGCTGCGGGGGCAAGAGGAAGGCAGCTGGGGTCAGCCCAGCGGAGGCCGGAGGGCTCTCTGGGAGGCAAGCACAGGACCACTCAGGCTTCTCCCACTCTCACTGAGGAGCCAGGGGAGGGATGCAATTTGCCACGGAGTTGGGAGCTTGCCTTTCATTTTCACAGCAGCTCAATGGGTGGAATGAGTCATGTTCACCCATGTAGACAAGAGGGGCCCAGCCTGTCACCTCAGCCTTGTCCCCTGTCTCTGGTCCCCTCTGCAGAACTGATGGCAGGGGATCAGTTGGCACCGGGGATCGAACTCACAACCTTGCACTTGGCAGGCAGGTGCTTATGCCTGCTGAGCCAAATCCCTGGCAAGACTTTTTTTTAAATAGACATAACTCTGTTCGCTTTTTTTTCATGTATCATGACTCAGTTACCTTTTTAAAAAGACTTAAAAGTCTTTGTGAAAAGATATTTTGAAAAGTAAATAAAATTACGTCATTCTGCTACCCACCCTATTAGAAGTACAGAGTCACACTTTCTAGATTCCGCAGCCTTCACCCCGCTTCCCTTCTCTTCCATGCCCCTTTGCTTTGCTGTCTCCCCAGACCTTTTTTGTATTTTAGTTTGAGACAAATTCTCATGAATTTGCCCAGGCTGGGTTCAAATTTTTAATCCTTTTGCCTCAGCCTCCCCGAGTGCTGAGGTTACAGGTGTGGCCCACCGTGTGTGTCTCTACATCTTCTTTTCTTGCATACTCATATGCAGGGTACCCAGAGGTCAGCTGGAGGTCTTTGGATTGCAAAAAGATGAGCTTGAACCTCGTGGAAACTCCAGTTCCTCCCTCAGAATTCACATGTGTTTCTGGGGGATTAGTGAATGGGCACAGTCGCCCTTGGTCCCTACATCCTAACCCCTGGACCCTTGGTCTCTGCTCTCCCGCCTGTGGGCTGTTCTGGTGTGGAACTCCTGCGGCCATACAACCTGGGGTGACCCGAGACCTAGGACTGAGCTCTTTTCCTCCATTTCCAGAAAAGTCTACTTCCACAAGAAAGCAAACACACCCATGTACAGAGGGATAGAGAGGGAGATTAGGTGACTAATGATTTAAAATGGTTCCTCACTGCTGGAGAAGCCCTCAGGTCTCTGCATGGTGGCTTCTCCACCCCAACTTCCTCCTTTTCTTCCCTTCCCCATGGCGCCCACCCCTGGAGCTGTTACTTCTCAGTGATCTCTCCTACTGGTTCAGGCCAGTGCTGGGGCCTCTGGGCTGGCTCTTTGCCCCTCAAGTAGTTTATCAGTGCTCTCTGAAAGTGATGACTCTGCTGCCATCTTTTCGGATCACACTGTTATAACTTGGGCCCTGGTATAAAATCCAAGGAGGCAAGAGACCGAAAATTTAGGTGGCAAAGGCTTTATTTCCAGGCCTGGCAACCAGTCTCCGGGAGCCAATTTGGAGACTGTCCCCCAGAGACTGAAAGGAGGACTTTAAAAAGGGGCTGGAGGAAAAGGCGGGGGGAGAGAAACAAAGAAACCTGCAGAGCCATCAAACTTGTTGACCCGAGTCTGGAAACTGTATTGCTGTCCACTTAGCTCTGACAATCTAGGGAGTTCCTGGTGTTTTTTAAATTACTCCCATCCTGCAGACTGACATTATCTCAGAGTGGCACGTCTGCAGCAATATTTAGAGAAGAAAGTGGAGAGTTAATTATCTCAGGACAGCTTGTCTTCGCTAGTGAGTGCGAAGGGGTCACGAGTTATGAGATGTTGGAACTTAAGTTTTACAAAGATCTGATATCTAACTCATTTGATACATACAGAACAAAAGGAAAGCACCGATTGGGGTTTGGGCCATAGTATTACCCGGTAATTTCTTTAAGCTAAGCAGTTCTTAAAATTGGGGCAGGCTCATTTTATGACAGATCATCACCGGGTCGGGAAGAGGTCACCAGAAACCCAAATTCTTTATGGCCTAGATAGATAGGTGAGGGGAGGGGGAGGCAATAAGGCGCCATACAGAACAGAAAACGGCGGTTATGTGTCAAGGTCAGGGTAAAGGGTTAAACTCATACGCAAATCTCTCTGTACACAACCAGGTTACTTTAAACAAATGTAAATTAATGGGCCATTCTAGTTTTCCTTAGCTCTTTAGCGGAGAATAGAGGCACCTAGCAGTGATTAACAACCCTTGTTAGCTTGTTTTAGCACAGCTTCTGTAGTTTGTAGAGGGCAACAATGGTTAACATATCAATTAGGTGAGATTCTTGCAATTCTTTACAGAGGAGAGTGTTGCTCAACATATCAATTAGGTCACTTAACATATCAGTTAGGGAAAAAGGATAAAACAAACACATTTAGTAAGCCACTTTACAGGTTTGCTATAATACACATATAACGAAGCTATTTTCTTAGAGTACAACACACACCATCCCCAGCACTTGGGGGGCTGGGGCAGGAGGATTGCAGCAAGTTCAAGGCCAGCCTGGGCTACAAAGTGAGTTCAAGGTCAGCCTGAATTGCATAGTGAAACCCTGATTCAAAAAGACAAATGGGCTAGGGATTTAGCTCAGTGGTATAAGTGCCTATCTTGCAAGCACACAGTCATCAGTTTGATTCCCTCCCCCCCAAAAAGATAAACCAAAACAAACAACCCCCCCAAAAAAAACCCATACCATTTCTTTTATCCTGTTAGACAATAGCCTTTTTTTTTTTTTTTTTTTTTTTTTTTTTGTTATGATGGTCATTGAATCCAAGGCCTGGTGTGTGCTATGCAAGCCCTCCATTACTGACCTTCACTCCTGGCTATTTTTGTTTTTTGTTTGGACACAAGTCGCACTAAGTTGACACAGGCTGGTGTGAAACTACTGACCCTCTGGTAAGAAGCCTAGCCCACCAGGCCCAGTTTCCACTGCTTTTTTTTGGTATGGGAAATTGAATTCAGGGCCTTTGCACTCAGCTCTGTTCCCAGTCTGTTTCTGTAATATTTAATTTGAGAAAGAATTAAGAATTTGGCTACCTGGCCCAGGCTGGGCTTGAACTTATGACCCTCCTGTCTCAGCCTCCCATAGACATGTGTCACCATGCCCAACTACTTAGCTTCCTTTTAAAAACTAAACCACAAATGAGCTCATTCTACATATTCTGCATGACAACAAATGGATGTTCTTGTCTTCATTTTAGGAAGAGGAAACTGAGGCAGAAGCCTTGGCCTTTGCCAGAATTTGGTCTGCATGCTGGCTTTTCCCAATTGCACTGGGCCTCAGGCCACACAAAGCCCAGCCCTCCCGCAGCTGGCTAAGAGCTTTCCGGTGTGTGCACTGTGGGCTTCTGACAGCCCCTCTCCGCAGCTCTAGTGTGAACACAGTGAGACCACGGACCACGGCTGCTCTGCTCACTGCTGCCTGCAGAATTCAGCGCTCAGTAGGTTCTCCTGGGCAGGGTTCCCAGGGAAGCAAAGCCAGCAGGTGTGGGTATGGATAAGGGTTTATTCTAAGGAACTGACTCACCTGCCATGGAGGCTGGCAAGTCCAAATTCTAGGATGGATCAGCAGGCTGGAAGCCCAGAGAAGAGCCAAGAGACGATTGGAGTTGGAAGATGTCTACAGCACTGCGCTCTTGCTCAGGGAAGACCAATCTTTTGCTCCAGTCAGGCCTTCATGGATTAGATGAGGCCTGAAAATGAAGTCCCAGGCTTAGTGAATTCGATGCAGGCAGTCAGCTGTCTTCTTCACTCAGTGAAGGTTTCGGGTGGTGAGCAGAAAGGGACCAGAGCCAGCCTGGGCCACGTCGGAGCAGGGAAAATGCTCTCCTGTGAGCACTTCACACGCTTGAGAGCCTACACTTGCGCCTGGCGTCATCACAGGACGCTCCTGCCTGGCACTGCTGCAAAGCAGACCGTTGCACAGAAACGTTCACTACCTGTGTGACTGGAAGCAACCGCAAGGAGAGCGCCTGGCTTGAGACCTTCTCCCAGAGGTTTAAAGACGCTAACAGCAAGGCTCCGGCTCTGGTGCGGAGACTTGGCCCTAAATAAACAATTCATCAAATCACTGCCGACTCTTTCTCTTTGTGCTTTCTACTCTCCCGCTCAGCTGGACTGCTTCCTGTTCCCAGTACAGACCCTGCAGGGACTTCCCTCCTCTTGTTTTTCTCTTGCCTGTGGAACAGACCTGTCCCTCTCCTACATTTTGCCTGTTCACTCATTTAACAATTTTTTTTTTTTTCTGTGCTGGAGATCAAACCCAGGGTCTTGTGGATAGCAGGTAAGTGTTCTACCACTGAGCTGTGTCCCCAGCCCTACAATATTTCTGAAGTACCTACAAGGCGGAGGCACTATTCTTACACTGAGGATACAGTGATGAACAATACAGATAAGGTTCTTAGTCCAGTGTGACGGTGCACATCTATAATCCTAGCATTCAGGAAGCTGAGATAGGAGGGTCACCATGAGTTTGAGGCCAGGTTGGGCTGCATAGCAAGATCATATCTGAGAGACAGAGAGAGAAAGAGAGAGAAGAGAAGGGAAGAGAGGAGGGGAGGGGAGGGGAGGAGAGGAGAGGAAAGGGGAGGGGAGGAGAGGGAGACAAATAGGTTTTGTCTTTTGGGGCTCACCTCATGTTCTAGTATTGAGAAAACAGACAGAACTCAAGCCAGTAATTGAGCAAGATAATTTCAGGTGGTAACCAGAGCTGAGAAGAAAACCAGGAAGTAATGACGGGTCGTAAACAGGTTGACGTGAAAGACAGTGGAGGCGGAAGTGATTTACACTGGAGCTCGGGAATGCTAAATGTGGGTTCGCATGCTACCCGGCTTATGGCTGGTACTAGAACATTATCTGATAAACTCATCTGCAGCACCTGCTGTTAGGGTGAACAACCATTCCAGTTTTGCAGGGCTGCAGCAACAGCCACATGCACACCAGGATCCTCGGTCACCCTTGCTCCTGCACACCAGGCCAAAGGTGAAACCTAAGAACACAGGGCCCGGGGATGGTCAGCGCTGGACATCACGTGGGTGTGGAGAGAGAGCCGAGAGCTGGGTGGAGGAGGGATGGAAAGCACAGAGCAAGGCCCTCGGGTGCAATGCTCAGCCCCAGAGCCTTCCTAGAGTCAGTCTATAGCTCTGACTGCGAATTCTCAGACATCGTTGCTAGTTTGCTTACGGTAAGTCAGTTTGTTTCAGTTAGCTGCATAGGTTTCCATTACTTGCAAACACAGAGTAATAATTAACGTGGACAACGTCCATACTATAAATAACAACAACTTAGGAATTGTGCGCCTTCCCTGAGGTGTCTGCTGCCTGGGATACAGCTGTGGCTGGGAGGAAGTGGCCTACCCACTTGGCTGTGTCCCCAGGAATGTCTTCCCCAGGCTTAGTCAGTGGTCTCTCACTGCCAAGCAGCTTTAACCGCCTCTCTCGTGACACTCCTCTATGTGTGATATGCCAGCTTTCAGAGTGTACAGCTCATAGTGCCTAATATGTCCTTTTTATAGAGTGCTCAGGTCAATCATTACCTGCGTATAAGAGGTTTTACACACCGGCGGGCGTGTGAATGTTTTACTGGGTAATAAAACCTCTCATAGATGGGTGCTACAGTGCATAAAGCATTTTCAGGTTTGTTGCTTGATGGGCAACAATTCTTCAGAATTTGGATTTTAGTAATCACGATACCAGCTGCTATTTATTTTGTGTTTGACGTGCTAGGTGTGGGGGAAATACCCTTGAGGCTCAGAGCCAGTGATCTGGCGAGATCTCCCACTTTATCTGGCACAGAGCTGACCACAGTTTTATTTTTCAGGCTGCAAAGCTGTGTTTTCTTTGCCCCTCTGGGATAGGGGTGCAGAGTGCAGATGACTCAGTCCTTCTCCCAGCTGCCCTGTGGGCTGATTTTTGTCCTTTTGGCTGGGCCTGGTCTCACTGAGAGGGCAGGCCGCTGGTCATTTGCTTTGCCAGCCTGGCCAAGTCAGGAGAATTGGGCTCTCTGGAGTCATTCCCATTGTCATGGCGCTTCTTGGGCCCCTCTCTGTGGAAACCTGGGGGCGAGCTGGAGAAAAACAGAGAGAAAATTCTCCCACAGCAAGCAGCCAGGCTGTCCTGAAAAGGTATCTCAGTGCTTTGCAGGTGTGTCCCAAGGCCGGTGTCTCCATGTTGCAGGTGAGGAAACTGAGGCCCAGGGTGCTTAGCAGTTCACAAAGAGGTTTTATGCCTTGCTTGGTCTGGGGTGGGTCACTGTAGCCAGGGAGATCTGGGTTCCAATCTAGACCCTTCGTGTGTCATGTGACATGAGACATGACCCGAACTCCCCTGAGCCTAGGATTCCTTATCTGTAAACAGAGACCATAACTTCTGTCCCTGAGCTCCCCGAAGGATGAGAGGAAACCATCTCACCAAGGGAAGTGTCTCACAAAGTGCCTGGTGTGTAAGGGATGCAGCTGTCCACCCGGCCCAGGTAGTGAGAAAGGCCGCTGGGGATGCAGGCTCCAATCTCGCCTCTGCTTGGGACTTCCCCACCACTCTGGACCTCGGCATCTTTTTTTTCTTTTCTTTTTTTTTTTGTTTTTTGTCTTTTTAAAGACAGGGTCTCACTATGCAGTTCAGGCTGGCCTTGAGCTCACTTTGTAGTCCAGGCTGGTCTCAAACTCGCAATGATCCTCCCACCTCAGCCTCCTGATTGCTGGGATTACAGGCGTGAGCCACCACACCCGGCTCACTCAGCATCTTTTTCAATAAACTCAGAGGGAGATGATATCTGAGCTTTCTTTGCTTTCTTTCCAGCTTGACAATTCAATCCCTGGTACCAATAAAAACAGGAAAGACAAAAAAAAAAAAAAAAAAAAAAAAAATTCTGTGCTTCGGGTGACAAGATGCAAATCCCGGGGCTCCTAGAACTGTATTAGTTTTATCACACTGCCTGTCACAGCCAGAATGGCCCTGGGACCCAGCCAGAGGCCAGCACTCGAGCCTGGGCCGAGAGAGGCGAGATGACTCTTCGGGTGAGGAGCCACCCATGGGCTGGGTGTTGGTGCAGTTTGGCTCCTTGGTCCCCGCCACAGGCTCAGATCCGTGTCCTCGCTTCGTGGAAGGAGACAGGGACAGGGAAAGATATCTTGGGAGGGGACTTGGGACTTGCCAGTGGCAGAAGCCAGCTGACAAAGTCAACTGAAAGTGATTATTGGTACCCTTAGCATCAGAGTGTGAGTTCGATCTCTGGTACCAATAAAAAGGAAAAAGACAAAAAAAAAAAAAAAAAAAAAAAAAAAAAGAATGGGCTGATCGGATGCTTTAGACAGTCACAGAGAGAAAGAGGGAGAGAGAGAGAGCTGGGAAGGTGGCAGGATGCTGGGGAGGGCTAGGGAGCGGGGTTGGTGTGGCAGGAAGCTGCAGAGATGAGCAGAGAAGAAAAAACCGAGAAAAGAAAGGAAAAAACCCTGAGTTTTCACGAAGGAAAATGACAGCTTGATCGAACAGAAGCCAGATGGAGGCTGTCAAAGCTACTGACTTCTGTTTGCTCACCCCCCCAGGAGTACTCTGAGGAGCAGCCTGTGGGAGGCCCCTCCCTGGTCGGTCACACTAATGGCCTGGGCTGCAGGGCCTGTCCTCAGTCCCCCTTGTCTTCTGCCATAGCACTAAATCCTCCAGCTGGCGCTAGGCTGGGGAACCCTGAGCCTATCCTGCTCCCCACTCTTGGCCACTGTCCCTCTCCTGCTGCTTCCTCATCCACCAAGTCCCTTCTGATCTTTGCCCCAACACCTTCCGCCTTAAATATGGCAATTTGGTGCAAGAGAATTAACTCCAGGCAGGAGCCAGCGTACCACACAGACATGCAGTCAACACTGGCAAGAATCTGGGATGGATTGGTTTGGGATGGACTTACTCTAAGCCACAAGACCAAGGAAAAGGAAGGTGCACCAGGGGCTGCCCTGCAGGCTGGGGAGAAACTGGAGGAAGCTACTCAGCCCCCCACTATGAGCCAGCTGGCACCCTGGGCTGGGCCCCCCCAGGCAACCGCTTTTTTGAAGGAACATAGGTTGAGATGATGACAACTGAAACAAAGAAACAACCTAACACTTGCATTGTTTGATTGACTTTGCAAGCCTGAAGCCGGCAGTCTGAGCAACTATCTAGAGGATAACAATGAGCACTACAGTAACTATTGTGGTTTTCCTATTGTCTTATCACTGTTTTGTTTTGTTTCATTTTATTGTTCTGTTTCATTCTCTTTAAAATACAAAATAAATAACATAAAAAATAAAGAAGAAAGAACTGCCGTAAAGCTGATTATTGTTAGTAATAGTAGACTTGCTTATTGTCCGTAACAGTAATAGCTTGGGTGAGATATTATTGAATGTTCCCTATATGTGAGACACTGTAACAAGCTCTGTAGTTGCATTGCCTCATTTATCTCCTTCAGAATAATAAGCATAATTAGCATTACTTCTTAACAGATGAGGAAACTGAGACTTAGAAAACTTGAGATTCTTATCCAAGGTCATATATTGCATAACAAACCCAATGTTTGCACCTTAAAGTCTATATAAAGTCTGCATAAATTTTAAGCCCAGGATTCTACCTCCTTGTCCCCAAAGACATATTCCTGCCATTTTTCTTGGAATGTTATTTACATGCTAGTGCTTTTTTTTTTATACTGGGGGTCAAACTCGTGACCTCGCACTTGCCAGGCAGGTGCCTGTGCCATTGGGCTAAATCCCCAGCCCTCTAGTGCATTCTTTATAAATGGCTTTAGCTGCAAGTAACGCGAAACATAACAAGAAATGGCTTCAACAAGAGACACTGGAGTGGTAAGTTAGAGACACTATGCTCAAGGTTCAAGAGGGGTCCTCGGGCAGCTCCGCAGCATCACCACACCAGAGGCTGCCCTGCCTCTCCACTCTCACAGTCTCACTCTCTTGGCTTTCCATTGTCATGCTTATTGCTTTATGTTTGCAAGATGGCTTCTGTAGCTCCAGGCATCACACCAGCATCCCAAAGGGCAGGAGCAAACAGTTCTCTCATGACGCATTTCTCAACAGAGATGTTGCTCATTTTTTCATGTATTTATTGGCCACTTATACTTCTTCCTCTGTGAACTGGCAATTCATTTCCCTTGCCATTTTTGACTGAGTCTTTTATTTGGGGGAAGATCTAATTATTTTGAATTCTTTCTATATTATATATGTTAGCCCTCTGTCTGAAGAACAGCTGGCAATTTCCTCCTATTTTGTAGATTGTCTTTTTACTGTTTTGTTTTTTTTCTGTACAGAAGAATTTTTTTTTATTGTGTCAAAACTTCTTAAATTGACATGGCCGCATTTGTTGATTCTTGGTACTGTTTCCTGGGTAACTGTGGTTCTATTCAGAAAGTCCTTGCCTATGCATGTGACTTCAGGAGTTTTTCCTATTTTATCTCCCAGCATGTTAAGTGTTTCTGTTTTTTTTTTTTTTGACTGTTATTTATTTATTTTTTCCAAATCCATTTTAATCAAAGGAGAAATAGAAAAAGAAGAAAAAAAACCCCAAAATTTCAAAAGTGTTTCTATTTCAACATTTAGTTCTTTGACCCATTTTTGGTTTTAGTTTAGCTCGTGATAAGAGACATGGATCTGGATGCAGCCTCTGCGTGTGGGCCGCCAGTTTCTCCCACGCCATTGGCTAAAGCCCCTCTGTCAAAGGTCAGATGACTGAATGTTCGTGGAGTTGTTCCTGCACCCTCTATTCTGTTCAGTTATCCTCATGTAT